TTATAACCGTAGTTTATTGTACCTTATCGTTTGACACATATTGTTTGTTTTTGTCTGGTTTAACGCCTCACTTATTCCAGCTATTTGTCTCGCCAGACAAACCATAGAGAACGTTGTTGGGGTAGAATGACACCAACCAGGACACTGAAGCTGAGTATCCAATCAATGTATATGTTACACCCAGTCTGTGTAACTGACCAATGCGTGCAATGGACAGTGACGTGGATGAGTTATAAAATCTTATTCACAGAAGTCAAAAGGACAAAGTTATTTTATAAGGATCTATTCACCGAAATATTTTACAAATATCTGTTCAGTGAATTGTTTTCACACACAGATGCATCAACATTTAATCATAAATTACTCTGACCAATTGTACTTACTTACTTACTTACTTACTTACTTACTTTGGAGATTTAACGTGCGCTTTCCGACTGATGCGTATTTCGCACACGGGCCCGGCCAGGCCATTTAATGTGTTTCCGAAAGGGGCGAAGGTGGTCTGTGCAACCCAAGAGGGGGGGGGGGGGGGGGGGGGGGGGGGGGGTTTAGGGGTTGCTTATATAGAATTTGGGAATTTTGAGATTTGGAATAGATGCCGATGGGATTGGGGAGGAGAACTAAGGGAGCTGGGTATGGTGGATGTTTGTTTGTTTATGTGATTTTGATTTGGTAGGTTATTGTGTTTTTAGATGCGTTTTATTAGTTCCGTTTTTATAGGAATACGCCTAAGGCCTTGAAGTTTTCTAGTTTATTTTGTGGGTTTAGTATTGCTTCTAGAGTGAGAGCCTTGTTTAGATTGAGGGTGGTTTGTAATGCGGTTCGATGTTTTAGGTAGTGTGTGCAGTGGATGAGTGCGTGTTCTGGGGTTTCTGGTTGTTTGCAGTGTGGGCAGTTACCTGTAGTTTGTTTTAAAAAAAAAATTAGGTGGTTATTTAGGTTGGTGTGTCCTGTTTGGAGTTTAGTTGACCAATTATAGACTTTAATGCGCACCAAATAAATGCGATCATGCATTATTTTATTTTTTAAATTTCGAAACGATGATCTTCGCTAAATTATATCTACTCACGAAACTGTATTTCCTGCTTACATGGGTCGGGTTATGAATAACTGACATACAGTATATTGTTTTTACATCAATTTACCTGAATAAATAAAACAAGTTATCCTTTTAAAAGGTGTTCATTGTATTACATTTAGTCCATTTAGTTTCTCCATCTTTGAGAGGTGTTTTTATAACGTAAACAAGTACACCCTTCATCTAATTGCAGTTTCCCTTTGATGTTCCCGAAGCATTAGCAAAGGCTTTGTCGACAACTAATTAGTCGCTTCATACGACCACAGTTCGTTGAAATTCTATTCAAGTTCTTCTCGTAGCTCCGGCATCTAAACATCAATCTTTAACTACTTTAAGTAATTATATATAATACCATTTAACATAGTCTCGTTAAGTATAGTAAAACATATGTAAATATCGTATCTATTCTGTTCTAAATGTGTGTAATTTATGTCGTCTTTGTTGAGCAATACATATTATCATAATTTGGAAATAACAAGCACACGATTATAATTTGGAAATAACAAGCACATTATTATAATTTGGGAATAACAAGCACACATCATAATCTGGATGGAGAACAAAACGGTGCTGTTTGTTCGTGTACATCGATATGCAAATGTGAGGGTTGGCGATCCTTTACAGAGGGTTCTTGAAAACACGGTGCTTGGATGCACGGGCGAGGGCTGGGCGCTTCGTGATGCATATAGGACGCCAAGGCTGTTTTAGACACAAAACTCCTTGCTGGAGGCTGCCATTTTGGCACATATGGAAATTGGAAAATGGTAAAAGAAACGAAATCAAATATAACAAAAGTGGAATTAAACAACGAAACGAAGTAATAGACATTTTGGCTCAAAAGGCTTTCTGACAGTTCCTACACGATTGATCATATTTTGTCGTCACGGTCAAACAACCCCTTTTAACGAATGACAGGGGTTGAAATAACAGAGACAAATTAAGCAAAACCAAGTCCGGATTATCGACAAACTGTCATTGCCGTTCTGAAATCTCGTTCACGCAGATATGATTAATGTGTGTAGAGTGAAGAAAAATATTTTTTTCGTTCGTAGCATGTGGTGGCTATATTTATCCCCGAACGACTCGTGTAGGCTTTTAATACTTATAGCGACATATGTTGGGGCGGGGTTTGATTACTGCCATACGAATAACATGCAGTGAATTGCAGTGGAAAGTTGTCGCCATAACACGGCGATGACGATGCTACTGAGCAACGCTGCCGACGTGACGTGACGATTTTAAGGCGCAACGATGATGACGTGACGACGATAGGATAAACCAATGGATAAACGTTACTGTGATGGTTGTACACATCCGTCTAACAACCTCAAATGTAAAAAGTGTGTGCACCTGAAATACCGCCTCTGTCCGGATTATTAGGACCGGGTTTTGTCCGGGTTTTAATGTTTGACGGACAAGGGAGATAACTCCAGTTTGTTTATGTTATACTCCATGTGCTCCAATAATATGAAGTAACGACCATTCCCCATTTCGGGTTGAGGACTGTTTATTTCAATGTGAACAATTCACTGCAGCGACGCGCGTCCCATAGAGCGAGGGGCGGTCGGGTAGCCAGGTGGCTAAAGCGTTCGCTCGTCCCGCCGAAGACCCGGGTTCGAATCCCGACATGGGTACAATGTGTGAAGCCCATTTCTGGTGTCCCCCGCCGTGATATTGCTGGAATATTGCTAAAAGCGGCGTAAAACCAAACTCACTCACTCACTCACCCATAGAGCGAAGCACTACCGATGTGGCATGGCTATGACGATCTCATTGAGCAACGTTGATGACTTGACGTGAAACTCATCGAGCAATGCCGACGACGTACACATACGTGACGTGGATATGATGATCTTATGGGGTAGTGCTGACGGCGTGACATAGAGGTGGTGATTTCATGGAACGTTGACGATGCGTGGGGGAAATGACGATCTCAAAGACAACGCTGACGACCTGGGAGTGCTGATCTCACTGAGCAGGTCTAACGGCATAATGCTCTGATGGAGGAACGTTGACGAACCTGGGAGTGCTGATCTCACTGAGCAGGCCTAACGGCATAATGCTCTGATGGAGGAACGATGACGACCCGTGTTGGACATGACGATGTCACGTAGCAACGCTGAAGACCTGAGGTGGAAGTGATCATAGGATGGAGGTACATTCACAACGAGGGTTTGATTGTGTTCTCATCGAACTACCGTGACGACGTGACGCAAAGGTGCCGATTTCATGGAGCAACTTACGGCGTGATTTGAAAGTGACCTCATGGAGCAAGGTTAATGACGTGACGACATGACGTGAGGAGATGGCCTAATTGAGCAAGGATGATGACGTGACATCATGACGTAATTGTGACCTCATGGAGCAAGGATGATGACGTGACGACATGACGTAATGAGTGACCTCATGGAGGAAGGTTGATGACGTGACGACATGACGTGAGATGACCTCATGGAGCAAGGGTGATGGCATGACGACATGACGTAATGAGTGACCTCATGGAGCAAGGTTGATGACGTGACGACATGACGTAATGAGAGACCTCATGGAGGAAGGTTGATGACGTGACGACATGAAGTAATGAGTGACCTCATGGAGCAAGGTTGATGACGTGATGACATGAAGTAATGAGTGACCTCATGGAGGAAGGTTGATGACGTGACGACATACCGTAATTGTGACCTCATGGAGCAAGGTTGATGACGTGACGACATGACGTAATGAGTGACCTCATGGAGGAAGGTTGATGACGTGACGACATGCCGTAATTGTGACCTCATGGAGCAAGGTTGATGACGTGACGACATGACGTGAGATGACCTCATGGAGGAAGGTTGATGACGTGACGACATGACGCAATGAGTGACCTCATAGAGCAAGGTTGATTACATGACGACATGAAGTAATGAATGACCTCATGGAGGAAGGTTGATGACGTGACGACATGCCGTAATTGTGACCTCATGGAGCAAGGTTGATGACATGACGACATGACGTAATGAGTGACCTCATGGAGGAAGGTTGATGACGTGACGACATGCCGTTATTGTGACCTCATGGAGGAAGGTTGATGACGTGACGACATGGCGTAAATGTGACATCATGGAGCAAGGGTGATGACGTGACGACATGGCGTAAGGGGTCGATCTGTTGCAGCAAGTCTAATGACTTCATGGAGCAATAATAACGACGTGACATGGCGATCACGATGTCTTGGCGCAAAGCATGGAACAACAATGACGATGACTTTGAGGCAGTAGACGTATATATATTGCATCCACAGCTTAATAGGAACGAACACGCTAAGATCTTGCAGAGTGTACATTCAGAGGTTTAACAATATGTTTTATAACGTCCCACTAGGAATATTCCAGCAATATATCGCCGTCGAACATCACAAAAGCTAATATCACTGATATTCTAGCACACAGACTGTGATACCGCCTCAAATTAAGACAATATAACTCAAGCCTTTCTGTTCTGTTTCCGTTCCATTTCCAATTTTCAGCAATCTATTACTATCTTTACAGCATCCAATAACAATCCTTTATTTCCATACATTGTTTACGTTCATGTTAGATTTCCAAATCGTTCTACAAAGGCGACAGCCCTGAAATTATTACAAACCCGAAGCCATGAAATAAATATCAAAATGAATATATTTTACTTTCGGACTGAACGTATTTTATTAATCTATATTCAACATGGTTACGACAATACCAGTAATATCAAAGTAACTTAAGAGAGAACTGTGTCAGTAGATTGACCATTAACCGATTCTGTTGACATGGTCACCTCGGAGGGCCAGGGGTCGCCACGGTGGCCTTTATGATTTATTAGCATTGCTCCATCTGCCGATAAGTATTGACCAGATATCCGTCCCGGTGCCGTGAACGGCCAAACTCTTTACGACTTGCGAGTCGCGATGGAAGAAAAACTATTTGGTCATCAAGAGAGTTGTGCCCTGCCTATGGAACCTCCAGCACTATGGCACTGCATCCAGTGTGGGAATTAAAAGGCAAACAATTGTAGTCTATCCTATGCCAAATCATGGAGAAGGAAGCCTTAACAGCTAGCCACGAGGTTTTATAGAACGTGTAATTATTATTGAAGAGCTAAAGGATTGCACGTATTGGCTAAATTGAAACGGCAGAGGAAAGCTCCGACGATTGACGTTGCCTTCAATGCTCCGAGTCGCGTTTAATGGTTGCGTATCGGCACAACTTTCTGATTGAATTACAAGCTACCCTACTGCCCCGAAGCAAACCTTGTCTGTCCAGCGGAAGGCGCATGGCGACGCCTATATAATAGCAACGTGCTGCAGCACAGATGGCTGGTAGTTTGTGAGAGAGATAGAGAGCGCAACAGATGACTACACGTTAACGTGGAGTTCTCGCATACTAGCTTTCCCTGCCTACCTACAACAGGTGTAGGCGTGTGTGTGTGTGTGTGTGTTGTGACGACTTGTCGAGTGAAACATCTATTGGAAAAGTATGTCTACAGAAGATGAAGCCTCTGGGAAACTTAACATCATCAAAGGACACTTTTTACATCCAACCTTGATTGCTAAAACGAACTGTGAATTAGAAGTGTTATCCAAGACGGCGCCAGATGATGGTGAGAAAATATATTTCATTTTATTGATGTCTCGATCGATAGTTTGCACATTTATTTGTATTCAATATTGTGTGCGAAAAGTTGAATGAAGTTAATAATTTGATTTTGATATAATCAATACCACACGGCGCACAGGGGACTCACGCTGAGAGAAACTAATTTACATTCATGTTACAAATATTATGTTTCCACCATAATTATTAATATATATTTACTTTTTCATTACTTTTCAAAACTATATACTCCGATATGCTCAATACATACACTATGTCAAAACTAATAACGTCTTGAAATAATGATTTTGTTGAGCATACACACGTGATCAGTACTATGTGGGGTCTATACTTTATTTGAAGTTATAAGGTTATGCTCATTACATACACAAACACGTTACGTATTATACATGTTGGTTGGTGAGTTGGTTGGTTTGTTGTTTAACGCCTCACTCAGCAATATTCAAGCTATATGATGGCGGTGCATTATATATGTACCATACAACAAACAACATATAAATGCATGTACATGACACGATGAAATTTATATAATGTAATATGTGCTTATATCTACCAATTCTTACGCGAGTGTTCTTTTCTCCATAAACTGTGACACCTCGTTAGTCAGGACACTCAGCTTTCCGGACGACAACGTCTTAAAATTGCGTCATTTATATAACGTCATTTATACGGCACTGTGACTTGTTAACCAGGGAATGTGACTTGTTAACCAGGGAATGTGACTTGTTTAACCAGGGAATGTGACTTGTTAACCATGGAATGTGTTTATTCGGTTGAACAATATCCGGATTAACAAGTGTTCTCTGCATCGGATTTCCAACCTTCATTACCTTTACACCAGTGTTTAAAGCAGCCAATCTGCTTCCAGTGAACCATAGAACAACCATCCTAATAACTGGCACCTTACCATGACATGAGGGTGCGTGTCGAAATTGCCTCGATTCGAAGCAGATTCTAGTCCCACCTGTTACTGCTTTCTTCTAACCCCCCAGAAATATCCCACTTAGTCATATCCCCTATTAGCCACACACCAATATATTGATAAAAAAATTCTTTTAAAACTAATGTAAAAACGGTGATATGTTTAATATGAAACCAGATCTATAACATGGAATCCAATGTCAGTATGTGTGTAACGCGAAACCCTTTCAGAGTACATACTGTTATTGCTTACTGACAATTAATTATCACTTTCCTCTTGTTAATACATTTATTTCATATCTGTAATGGTTTGGATAACAGATAATATTTTTTTTTAAATATACACTGAGATTGGGTTACTAATTATAGCTAGGGATACACTGTCAATAGGGCAAATGACAGGGGGTGGGGGTGGGGGTGGGGTTGGGGGTTGGGGTGTTGTTGGGGGAATGTCATGGGGAAAATGACCGGCGGGGTAGGGTATGAAGGGGATGGGGTAAAATTATCAGCGACTGTGGGGGCTGGGGCGGTGGTGGTGAAATGAGGGGACGTGACCGGGGATGGGGGAAAGACCAAGGGAGAAATAGCCTGCTACACATGCATCAGGAAACATACAGTCAGTGATTGACAAAAAAACGATACATGATCATATAAAATACACAACCAATTTTTAAAATTATCCGTGATAAGTACTGATGTACTTTGACTATAACACATTTAACAAAATTAATCATGGGATTATTTCCAAACAAATAACCGTATAAATCTGCCGTGCAGGTTGACATTCAACTATCGAAATGTAAATAGTAAAGTACTTGTGACTTTAAAAATGCATAATATTCATCGCGTGATCGCACCAAACTTAACTGATGAATCAAAAAGTCACATACATTTGGCTGATATATTTTCTATTGACAAAACTAATAGGACAACAAAAATAAAATGGTATGAATCGGAGGCACGCCTACAGCCACGAAAATGAATTCATGATTTAATCAGAACAGTATAAATATTTATTGTGAAACTGAAGAGGTTCGGTAAACATCAGATCTGACTGATGTACTGATATCTATTGTATTAGGACAATGCACAGACGCGCCGCACCTTGTCAAAGTGACAGACCCATTCAAGCACACATATGCTATCACTCTCAATTTACTATATCGGGAATTCTGTATTGGTCTTGTAGGCATGAATCCCATTCAATTAGTTTAATCCCACCTGTGACTTTATATTAACTGTCTACATCTCGACACCATTGCTATTCCGACACTGAGCAAGTCATTTGGAAGTCATTTGTCATAGCCTGTTGTGCAGAGAGAGTTTAATGTCAACATATAATTTGTAAATAGGAGTTTGTGCACCGAGCGTGTGCTCTGATTATTTGATAAAGCTTGTCAGTCTTGAGTAGGGACGTGTTAATGGAGACAAGCAGCTGGTTATACAGGAATCTCAGTTTTTCATGCCCGTTGATTTGATCGATCTCGTTCATCAGATCGATATATTTTACATGCAAGCTGACATGCTTCCTTGTAAAGATGTTTTGACATTGTGTTCTATAATGAAATACTTTTTATGCATCGTTTGACAGTTACCTTGGAGCTTTCAAAGTTTTATCATACTGCCATATGATACCATATTTTGTCATTTGTTAGTTTTGGCTGTTTATCTGTCTTTGGAATGTCTTCGCCGGTTTTTCTATGTTACACATCAGATAATTATGATGATGGTAAAAACGACAAAGGCAATAGAGCACCTTTCAGGAGTCCTCATACAAAACAAAGTGACCGGACTTATAATCGTCCATCTACGTTTCATGGAGATGTTGACCGAACTTCGTACATGTATCAATATGTACATGTACTCGCTGGGTATTACTGGACAGGGTACACTTTGTCTTTGTGTCTAGGTTGATGAGGCCCCGTGATTTGGCGTTCATGTAGTCTTTGTGTGGATGCCCGCGTTGATGAGTTCTCGGGCACCCCGTGCGTGGCGTCTTCATGTAGTCGTTGTGAGCATACCCGGGTTGATCAGATCTCGAATACCACGTGCGTGTCGTTTGTGCATCCATTGTGAGCATCCCCGGGTTGATCAGGTCTCGAATACCACGTGCGTGTCGTTTGTGCAATCTTTGTGACCATCCCCGGGTTGGTCAAGTCTCGATCGAATACCACGTGCGCGTCGTTTGTGCAATCTCTGTGTGCATCTCTGGGTTCATCAGGTCTCAGGTACCCCGTGTGTGGCGTTTGTGTTATCTTTGTGTGAATCCCTGTGTTGATCAGGTCTCGAGTAACACGTGCGTGGGGTATGTGCAATCTGTTTGTGTATCCCTGGGTTGATCAGGTCTCAAATTACTCGTGCGTGTCGTGTTCATGTAGTCTTTGTGTAGATACCTGGGTTGATCAGGCCTCGAGTGTCCCGTGCTTGGCGTTCATGTAGTCTTTGTGTGCATCGGGTATGTTACGGAAAAATCAAGAAACATAATCAAGGCGATTATATGTTTTTCACATCAATAAAGGCAACATGTGCATCTAATGTATATACATTTGTTTCTTCTACATCAAATGTTTTATATGATCTAGAAATCCAGGATCGTACGCTCGAATCCCAGATTGGCCTTCATTATAATTATGTTTCATGATTTGTCAGCACCCTACCCATGATCGTGGGCTTCATAACAGCGGTAAATGTCTAAGACCCGCATCACTTCTTATTTTCCTCCCACGTCGGGATGGAACTAAATAAGTGTTAAACCAAAGGCTCACAGGACCTTGGTCTTGATTATTTGCCTATTGTATGACCATAACAAATTTGGAAACGTATTCCTGGATAATGAAGACCCGACAACATATGGTATTGGTTAGATTCAGGCAGTATTTGCAGTTCTGAAGACCAAAATTACACATATCTGCTTGTGTGTAATCCATCTTTGTGATCATAGAGATTGAAATCCTATATCCCCAGGAGAAAAATTAATAAGTCTGATATCTATTTTGGCCCTTTTGATAGAACATTTGGCATCTTTCTCAATGATTTTCACACAGATAGACGTATGGTTAAGAACCCTCACTAGTCTGTTCGGAAGTCTCATATTTACCGTCGGGTAAATACTTAACCTAACTATGCTGGGAAATGGCAAATGTCGGTGAACTCAATATCTCAGGGCATCACCATTGTGACAGCTATCGAAGTGGTTTCTGACCATAAACACATCTGTCAGTGTACCTTGAGTTATGGTAAAGAGAAGTATATATATAAGGAGAAGTATAAGTATATACTATATACAGGGAGAGAGAGGGAGAGGGAGAGAGAGAGAAAGAGAGTATTAGAGAGAGAGCACACAGAAGAAATCAACACAGACAGTGACAGCTGTTGAAATGGTTTCTGGCCATAAACTTGTCTGTCAGTGTACCTTGAGTAATGCTAAAAAACAGAGTTTGTGAGTTATGTGAAGATGTTAAGAGTCCAGATATTCGTGCTTGTCAAAACTCCTTTATCCACACAACATTATGCTGTCGCCTCGGACTACGTTTTACTTCCCCCTCTATTATCACTGTTACATCATAGGCATTATGACGTCACAAATACTACTGTTGTGAGTCGCCTAGGACAACAATGTAAGTTAAAGTTTTCATTACACCTGAAGAGCCGTTGTACGGCGAAAGATCTTGTGTGGATAAAGGAGTTTTGACAAGCACGAATATCTGGACTTTTTGTATTTTTAATACTTATACACCTGATGAAATCATGTGTTTATATATATGGAGAAAATATGAGGGGATGATGATCAGAGAAGCACGAAGTGGTAAAGGTGAGGTGAGGTGAAATTTGGTTTAACGTCGCGTCCAAGATTATTGCACTTATATAGCGACGTGCATGCACGTGTGTGTGTGTGTGTGGCTGCTTGTACTAGTCCGGACTGATGCCGATTTATAGTGCTAGCTCACTGAGATATCCTGCCGCAGTTTAACACGAATACCCCACTCAGACACAGTATACTGACTCCGAGCCGACCAGTTCTTGTTTTAGCCCCTTAATGCCGAGCGCCAGACAGGGTAACAACAA